AAGCTGCCCCTCTGCTGAGAGGAGACTGGGCACCCCCCAGGCCAAGTGAAAGGAGGTGCCCGAAGTCCAGAGCACACACCGTGAGCAGGACTGGGGCCACTGTCCCCAGCCCAGTGCCCAGGCCCCACCCTACCCCGCTGACGGCTCCTGGGCGGACTTGCCCTCTCGTACAGAGTTCCCACAAGGTGGGCAGCGGGCTCCATACCTGAACACAGACTTGACATGCAGCATGAGCTCCGGCCCGATGCCGTCCCCAGGGATCATCGTCACCGTGTGCCGCCCTCCATACTTCGCTGACGGAGGCTGCAGGGAGGGGAGGGTGAAGGCAGGCCTGCAAGGGCCCCTGAAGGTTCCCCCAGTTGGCTCCCAGGGGCTCAAGCCAGCTCCCTCCTTCCCACCTGCACGGACCCCGTGGACCAGCCAATCACAAGGGTCCCTCCCGTGCCCCACCCCCAACAGCAGAGCCAGCCCCACCCCTGCCCCGAGCCTCGTGAACCCAGCAGAAGGACAGAGAGAAGAATACTCACAATTGTTCGCTGCTAGAGAGGAGCAGGAAGGGAAAAGACACAAATGAGCCCCGGTGACTAGAACAAGGCTGTCTGGAGAACTGGGGTCTTCTCCTCAAGTAAGGGGTGGGGTGAGCACGCCCCCGGACACTGCATCTCAGCTGGAAGGACACAGAGGGGCAGGGGGCAAAAAGGCGTGCACACACACACACACACACACCCCCCAGGAGGTACTTACCGAGGAGACACTCCTCCGGGGGGCCTCATGGGCTCCTACAACCTGGCAAAGACAAGCCAAATCCAGTGTTGCTTGTCAGCCCCGAAAGCCGAGCTCTCGGCGGAGAAGAGGGCCCCCCCGCCCCCGCCCCCGCCCCCCCAGTCAACTCCATCCCTGCTCCAGCCTCAGAACAGCACAGGACGTGCCCTCTGGGCAAGAGCCCTGGGCCTGCACTGTCCAAGGGCCGGCCCGCTCCATGTACTGCGGAAAGCTCTCACAACCGTTCCTGCCGCGTTAAACTCTTCCATCGGGTGTTCTGAAAACGTTCCTGGCTTCCTCTCCTTATTTTTTGCTTCTGACTCTTTTTCAGCCAATTATTCCCGCTCAGTGATGTTTACAACATCGGAAGGTCAGCATGCTCGACGGGGTACAATAAATCATGAGAACAGACAAATCCACAGCAATGGTAACTATAATTTTTATCGTTCTTCCTTATCATAAAAGCAACGCGTGCTCACCAGAGCAGCCAGAATACAGAGATAAAGCGAAAGAGACCCTACCCAGTGTTCTACCTACCCCAAAGAAAGCACCATTAGCATGCTGGTGGGCGGCCCGTCAGAATTCAAAAAGAAACACGCAGAGAAAACCCCACAGCTTTCAGAGCAGTAACAGCAGAAGCTGGTATTTAGGAAGGCTCTCACAAACGACTGCCAACTGCTCTGTGGCCTACACAGGTGACTCACGTCCCAGACACCATGACTGGAAGCAGCTGCTCTCGACAGCCACATGGACAGGTGTTTCAAAGTGACCCACGTGGAGTGCTCACATCGTGGGTAAGGGGAAGGAGGGGCTTGGGGGGAGCACGCCAGCCGGGGCTGCTGCAGGGGGCTGGGGCCGCACACCTCCACTCTCCCCCAGAGCCTCCTGCAATCTGAGGAGAGCCAAGACCCTCCTGTCACTTGGGGACGCCCTCTTACTTGCCTGCCTGGGGAGCAGCAGAGAGCTCCCACCAACGGCAAAGGCACCGTGGCCATGTCTCAGAGAGCTACGACTTTCTGATGGAAGTCTAGAGGCCTCAGGAGGGGCGTGACTGGGCCCCCCCACCTTGGACCCGACCTTTATAAGGCGCTATTGCTGTGCTCCGGCAGGGGCCGGGAGGGAGTGACTGCTAGGACAAGAGCCCCGGGGAATCTCTGCTAATCCGAGCGACACTTGAATCTGGGATCCTCTCCCCTCCAGGCCAAGCGGCAGCCGAGAAGTACTTGGAGACATCTGTTTCCCTCTAGCACCTGTCAATATCTGACTTCTCCTTATGGACAGGCTCCCAGTAAGTACTGGTGGGAGGTGGTTTGCACAGCCCTTCCTCCAGGGAGCCTTCCCTGATACCCTAAGGCTGCCGAGCCGCTGCTCCTCCCTCTGGACTCCAAGGTCATCTCCCATCTTCCTCGGTTGTCCCTCCCAAGCCCTAAGTGCCCCTGAGAGCAGAGGCCACGTCTGTCCGGTCCCCCACTGTCACCCCAAGACCCAGCACAAAGGAATATTTCCTGAATGAAGAAGCGAATCAGAAAATGAAGTACGAGATCGTGGGCTTCAGGGCTAGGGAAACCTAGTTCAAATCCATTCGCGCCCACGAGCCGGCCAGCAGCGCACGGCTCCGCCTGGTCGAACTGCCGTCCTCATCAGAGACCCACAGACAGAGACAGGTGCTGACTTGACGGCAAGGGCCGAGTGGGAGAAGGTTCACAGTCCCTAGCAGGGCAGATGGGTCCCTCCAGCCCCAGCATATCCCTCCTCGGCTTCAGCCCTCCGCAGTCCTGGTGCTGGGCACGTGGTTAGTCCACTCACACGAGCCCTGCGCCAGGCCCACCCCCCCTCCCGCCACCTTGGATCACATCATCACCACCAGCCTGAACCTCTCCCCCACTGGTTTCCAGGCTAGGTGTTCCTTCCAGCTTTGGCCCAAGCCCAGAGAGAGTTCTCCAGATAGACCCCTTCCTGAATTTCCTTCCTTCAGGGGGTTACACAGGCTCAACCCTCACCCAGGTGGTCTGGGGAAGCTACCAACCAAGTAGGTGGGCATTCACCCAGAGGGAACCGTCAGCCCCTGTCCTCTGACTGTGCCACAGAAAGGAAGGGGTCCGCTGGGGTGTAGGCTCGCTCCGAAGAGTTCCCACCCTCCACATGTTACTGACGCTTCTCTCTTCGATGCTGGGCTCTGTTGGATCAAGGGCAAATGGTGGCTGAATGTTCTCCCACAAGATCCCAACCAGTGGGGCCAAAGATCTGGGATTTATCTCTGAGGATTCCCATACCAGGGCCATCGGTCTCCAGGCAGGGCACTGCCTCACTGCCATTCGTTCGCGGTCCTCCCACTCCTGGCCCAACAGGCACCCAAGCACACCCACACAGGGGAGCTCAGGGCAGAGACCAGTATCTTCACCAAGCACCTGCAGGAGCCTACCTGTCAGAGCCATCGGGGCATCTGGGAAGTCTCCCTGTGTGGCTGTCCTTTCGTGAGTAAGGCAGGAGACATTGGCATTTTAAGAAGATTTGAATACAGCTTATTCGGTGACAGGGGGCAGTGGGAGGAAACACAGGGAACAGAGATGTCCACGGGGACTGTGAGCAAAGTCACAGAGTTCTGGAACGCCAGAGTTGGCAGGATCCTTTGAGAACACGAAGTCCCCTCCCCTCACTGGACAGAGAGGAAACTGGAGATCAGAGAGGGGACTGACCTAAAGCCACGCAGGGGACCAGTGGGGGAGGCCGGCTGGAGGTCATACCTCCTGGCCCCCAGGGACAATGCTGGCCCGCTGCTGCTTCAAGTGCTGCATGGTTTCCAACTCACTGAGGGCCTAAGCTTTCCCAGTGAAGTGCGCCAGAACGAAGACCTAATGCGGAGAGCTACGGAAGCAAAGGCTCGCAGCCGCTCGCCCTTGCCCCACCTCAGAAATCCGAGCTCCCTCCCATTCCAGGCGCCGGCGGGAGCAGCGACATCTGGGGCTGTCAGAATTGGGGGGGGGGCTGGCAAAGTCCGATTCGCCACCTCCACCGCGACAGGTGGCAAAGCGGTCCACGAGAGGGAGAACCGAGGAGGAACGGGGTCCAGGGACGGGATGCCGGGCGGCAGGAGCAAAGCAGACCGGGACACGTGACCGCCCCTGGAAGGCTCCCCCAAGAGCACTGGGGAGTCGATGCCGGCCCGCTGCGGCCCCCGCCCTAGGATGTAGACCCCCGGGGAACCGGGACAGCCGCCAATTCCAGCCAAGCCCTTCACTGACGGCGGAGGTGGCCAATCCCCGCTGCGCGCGGCCCTCTCCCCGCCCCTTACGGGGCCCGCACCCAATCAGGCTCCAGGCCACTCAGGGAGCGGCTCCCACGGGCGCCGGCCCCGCTGAGGTGTCAGGCCCGACCGTGACCATTGCCGCTCTCCTCGCGGGCTACGCTCCCTTCTCACCTCCCAAGGGCGGCAGAGGATGACCGGTCTGAAAACTGCCTTCGCAGCACCACAGGCCGCCGTCGCCACCTTCAGCGCCATGGCGGAAAATGAGAGCTACCGCTCGTCCCTTGCGAGACGACACTGCTCTCGCGAGAGTCCTGCGGGGGCGAGAAGTCCCTGGGCAGCCGCAGGCCCAGCAGTGCGCACGCGCGCGGCCGGCCGCTTCCCACGCCCCCTTCCGGCGCTGGGGGCGCCGCCGCCGCCATGTTGGGGGACGGCCGGTTGGGCCCCGGCCGGGGGATGAGGACACGTCAGTGTGGCTAGCGACGTCACGTGGGCTGACCCAGCCCGCCGGCGCTAGATTGGCTCCCGCGGCCGCTGACGCGTCGCGCTTCCTCGTCTGCCCTCGTGCTCGGGGAGCCCGCTCTCTCTTTCCCCCGGCAGAGAAGAGGCGATGGCGGCGGTGGCACCTCTCGGGGCCCTGGCACTCCTCCTGCTGTCCGGCCTCTCCTGCTGCTCAGGTAGCGGCGTGGCCGGCGCCTGTGCGGGCGAGCTCCCCCGCCCAGCAGGTTGTGCGTGGGGGGAGCAGGGGGCGGGCGCAGCGGCGCGGGCTTGGCTTGCCTCCGGCGTCATCCCCACGTTGACCCAGCAGCCACCTGTGTCACCTGCCCCTGGTGCAGAGGATAGTCGCAGAGCCTCCACACACGTCCCGCTCCCTCTCCCCAGCTCCCGGCCCAGGAAGGGTGGGCCAGGCTTCCCCCCCGGGAGCTCAGGGCAGCCTTGGGGAAGTGAGGGTCGCCGAGGCGAGGGCCACGGCGAGCAGGAGCAGGCGGCCCGACAGGCTGCAGCCAGGCAGGAGGAGAGGCGTGTGAAAAAGTGGGAGCCGAAGAGGTGACAGGGGCCTGCGTGCCCGGCCGGAGCCCATTCGCTTCCTTGCGAGGCGCTGGCGTGTCGGGAAGGGCTCTGAGCAGGCCTCACGCTCCCGAATCAAGCCAACCCCTTGCTAGCAGTGTTGAGGGAGCTGGGCTCCAGGTGTGTGGACACGGGGTGGGCTGCGGCCTGGGCAGGGGCCACTGTCCGCCCCTCACCTGGCCTGCCCCGACTCACCCGCTCCTCAGAGATTCTACACACTGTAGCCAGAGTGCAGCCTCTCGAGGACAGACCTTCCAGGGCCCCAGAGGGCCCACAGGAGAAAGGCAGCCTGAAGCAGGGCACGGAAGGGCCACTGTCGCGTTCCCAGGGGCTTCCTCCTGCTGTTGTCCACCTCTGAGCTCAGCGGAAGGCTTAGCTCTGCCAGGATGGCACGTTGGTAGAGCCCGTGGCTGAGAACTTTCCCGTTGGTGGAAGCATTTGCTTTGCGCCCTGTGACTCAGGTGGTGCCCTTTCCCGTGTGGAGATGGCTAAGGCAGGCTCCTTTCTCTCAGGCAGCTCGGTCTCAGGGGGCAAGTCATGCTTCTGGATCCAGAGCCGCCACGTTTCTTTCCCTGAAGAAATGCTGGGGTGTGGGTTCAACTTTCCGTCAGCTGTAGCTGGGGGCAGACCCTTTCCTTCATCTCTAAATCCCCCGAGTGCTGTCAGCACCATCTGTGCTGGATGCTTCTGCTGAGGCTTCCAGGAAACTTGAGGGATGTGCGTGGCTGTGAATAGAGGCCAGCCTGGCCCCCTGGGCTTCTGGTGTGTTCCATGCCAGGGCAGGCTGCAGCCTCAAACCACTGCTTGGCCTTCCTGTCTGGAGGTGTAGGCGCCTCCCCGCAAACACACTTGTTCTTCCTTCACAAGTGGATTTAGATCCCACCTGGACAAGCCTCCCCCGGCCCCTCCCCAGCCGCCTTCACAGGCCTCTCACCCCGCCTTGCCACTGGACTTCTGACTGAGCAGACCCCAGCTGGCAGGGTCAGAGGTTCCCGGTATGTTTTTAGCTGACTGGGGCCTGGAGACCAGGCCAGGGCAGCCCCTTCTGGCCCCTTCCCAGGCACGTGGGCTTCTCTGTTGCACCCTCACAGCAGAGGCCTGTGCGGAGCCCCAGATTACGCCCTCCTACTACACCACCTCAGACGCCGTCATCTCTACTGAGACGGTCTTCATCGTGGAGATCTTCCTGACCTGCAAGAACAGGGTCCAGGTGATGCAGGGGACTCGGGGCAGCGGGTTTGCCCCCCGCCTCACTCCGTGCCCTTGGCCGTTAGTGCCTCGCTGGCACTTGGCGGGGTGGACTCGTGTGGCCCGAGGGCCCTGCGGAAATGCAGGATTGGGGCTCTGTCACCGTCATACGGGACTGGACTGTGGTGGTGGCGGCACAAGGTGCACGCCCATTGCTGCTCTTTCGCGAGCGGGTATATGTGTGGGAGGAGGCAGTCTGGGCCAGGCCCCTTCAGCCCTTTTCTGGCTGCTGGTGGCTGGGATGGGGGTCTGTGGTGGGTGTTATGGAAGTTCAGGGTCAAGAGGCCCTGTCCTCAGCCCCTGACCTTAACCTGTATCCTCAAAGGCCCAAAGAAGGAAATTGGGCCTTTAGGGGCACAACCCCATTGGGTTTCCTGCCCCCAGGTTTGCTGGGGGTCAGGTTAGACCAGGCCACGGGGAAGGTCTGGGCCTTGCCCTTCCGTGGTGTTCTCAAAAGGCACCCCCTGCCGAAACACACCACAGCCATCCGCTGTGCACATAGACTGTGGGTGCTGCTGCGAGCAGCCCTGTGGTGCCTTTGCCCCCCACAGGGGGGAGAAGGTGACCCTCCTTCGCCCCCTCACACAGAACATGGCTCTTTATGCCGACGTCAGTGGGAAACAATTTCCTGTCACCCGGGGCCAGGACGTTGGGCGTTACCAGGTAAGGACAGGACCTCGGACGCTGCTCACATGTCCCTGCGTCAGAGCACACAGGGCGGCCCTAAGAGTGTGTCTGCTCTGACTGCCGCACCCACCCCACCCCACCCCACCCAGGTGTCATGGAGCCTAGACCACAAGAGCGCCCACGCGGGCACCTATGAGGTCAGATTCTTTGACGAGGAGTCCTACAGCCTCCTGAGGAAGGTACGCCTGGAGGCCTGGGTGCAGAGCTTCAGGCCCCGGGGGCCTGGCTGCTGCAGGGTTGGGGAGCCCGGGTGGGGGCAGCTTTGCTGACTACTGCCCCACGTGGCCCTTTCTTCAGCGCCCCCTGACCTCAGCCCCTCTCCTGCAGGCTCAGAGAAATAACGAGGACGTTTCCATCATCCCACCCCTGTTCACAGTCAGCGTGGACCACCGGGTGAGTGAGCTGAGGGGCAGGGCAGCTGGTAGACAGCACCCACATCCTCCAGGGGGTAGGGGGTGGGGGCTGAGTGAAGGCCCTTGTACTCTCCACGGCCCAGACTCAGCCTGCTGGACTAAGGGTGGCCTCTGTGGCCTGGTGCCTGCCTGCCTCCCGAGCCGGTGTCTGCTCCCCTCTTTTGCAGGGCACCTGGAGCGGGCCCTGGGTCTCCACCGAGGTGCTGGCCGCAGTGGTTGGCCTGGTGATCTACTACCTGGCCTTCAGCGCAAAGAGCCATATTCAGGCCTGAGGCCCGAAGGCAGAGTGCGGGGGCTCCGGCTCTCCTTTGCTTCTCTCAATAAACACCCATTGGCCATTACGAGTAGTCAGGACACAGGACTCCTTGCTTGTCACCGCACCTGCCCACACACAGGGAGAGCCGGAAGCACCGCAGCCTGAGTGGGGCGGGGCAGGGCTGACGTGGTTCTGCCCTTTACCGAAGGGGGCGCTCATTCCTCAGCCCCGCAGACAGTACCCGTCTTCGTGTTTCCCCCGCATTGCTGTGTGGTGTGGAGCGTGGGCCATAGTGATTGTCCTCCCCCAAGTACATGACCTGTGCTGACCAAGGGGTCTCTGCTGTGTTCAGTGTTGTTCGTTCTCCCCTTGCCTGGTGTGTAGCCGGGTCTCTGTTTGGCCTCCTGTCAGGAGACCACCTTTCTGTGGCCAGCCTAGGGAAGGACCCTCTGCCCTTCCCAGCCCACGGCTGGGCTACCACACTGTCCCTGCCACTGGGAAAGGCATCTGCCCTGCCCTCAGGGAGCCCTTCTTCAGCGCCCCCAGCCTCCCACAGGATCACACATGCAGGCCCATCCAGGCAGGCCTTCCCGATGGCCCTGTGTTGGAGCCCTGGGCACCAGCCCCACAGCGTGTAAAGTGCTTTTTTTGTTCATGCCTCATCAACGCCTCTGATCGGCGCAGTGACCACCCCCATCTTACTAACGTGTCTGTCCAGCAGCCCTCTGTAGCCAGCACATGGCTGTCCCAGGAGCTGGAGTGAGACTCAGGCCCATGTCTGCTGAGCCCTAACTCCTGCACTCCAGACCGGTCGGTGTTGTTTCCCAGGTGTTTACATTTCACGGTGTCAGCTTTGCCCTGGAACGCTTAGAAAACGGGAGAGAAGAAGAAATCACCCAGAGCTGCCACAACACGACCCTTGCCAGCAGGCGGCTTTGTGGACTGGGAGGCCTCCTCAGGCTCTAGGGGAAGGGCCCTCGGTGTCAGGAGCCCCCGGCATTCCTTGGCTGCTAGAGGGGGCCTCCCGTGGTCTCCTCCCCTGGGCGTGTGTCTCCTTATGACTGTACTCGGAAGGGATCAGCCTTGGCAGCCACCCTATTCCGCTATGACCTCATTATCGTAAGCAAAGAAAACCCTTGTCCTCCCAGCACAGGTACACATCTTTGAGGACAGTTAAACCCCTAACAGCTCTCTACATTCTCTCTCCCTGAACACCCGGTGCCTCACGGTACCAGGTAGGCACGGCCATGCAAGCCTGCAGGTCCCCATGCTCTGTGCCCCAGGTCACCCGCAGCTCCATTCCTAGGCCTGGCGCATGCTGGCCGCCAACACTAGCTGGTGGGGCAGCGCAGGTCCTGGGCTCCAGAGAGGCTGGTGCCCCTCCCCAGTTGTGTGAATGCCTACACCAGGGCGGTGGGGGGTCACTGGTAAAGCCCCTGCGAGAGACAGTGACGAGGATGAGTGAATGGCCCACTTGAAAAGGACGAGCCAGCCAGGGAGCCTTTGTTCAGCAGTGGGAGGGGGCGTAAGGGCGCCTCCCCATTTCCTTTCTCCCGTCTCACAGGGGAGAAGGCCCGGCGCCGCCATGTCCCTGGGCAGTGGGCTGGGGAGGGGAGGCTCTGGGGGCTGAGCTGGGTGACGACTCACTCCACCAGGAAGGTCGATGGGAGAGTTGGGTTGAGCGTGCCGAGGGCCAGGCCAGACCCAGTGCTGAAGAGCAGAGGGGGGCGCTCACAAGGTGCATGCTGGCAGCAACAAGCACTCTCTCCCTCGCTCGTTGCAGAGGTGGGCAGCTGCGCCCTGCATTCTGGTGGCCGTCAGTGCAGGACGCAGGTGAGAGCCAGGCCAGCGGGCAGCCGAGGTGGGGAGGGTGCAGCGGGCACAGTGGCAGTTGTCTGCTACTCGGCTGCTCTTTTTGGTTCTGGCTCCACCCCCCCGCCCAACAGCCGTGGGACCCAGACTCAGAAATCGCTGTACCAAGGCTTGCTAGCCAAGTGTTGCCAGCCCTCCTGGCGCCACCCTCCCGCCAGCTTGCAGAGCCAGCAACAGGCTGAGCTGCCAGCAGTGGCTCCCGCCGCATGCTTTCCATGGCCAAGGGACTCCGGTTCCCAGCCCGTCTGTCAGCGCCAGGAAGTGAGGTGCCACTGGGACTGTCAGGGAGCCCCTAGCAGCTCCAGAGGGAGACCACAGCAACGGTTTGCGTCAGCCCGCAATCGACTTCTGTAGGTTCTCTGTGGCGGGGTCTTTCCTCCTGGGGATCTATATGGGGCCTGAGCGTGCCCTCTGAGGTACAGAGACTGCTCCCAGCACCCTACAGTGCGGGGTGCTGCAGGGAGGGCTGGCAGGAAGCCAGGCCTCCAGCCCCCTACCCCAACCAGCCCCTCTCCCTGCCATTCTCGTCTACCTTCCCTGAAGGCCCATTGGTGTTCCCGGGGCTGCACAGGACACATTTTCTCCTGCAAGGGCAGGGCTGGGGTTCCCCTCCTGCCCAGAGCTGCCCAGACTTCATGACTAACGAATTCAAGAGAAAACATGACCGTGTCCTCGCCCGTTTCGGCGCCGAGCACAAGGTATGGCGTGTCTGTTCACAGCCCGTCTCCCCAGGAGACAGCCCCTTCCCAGCAGCACTGCCCCCTCCAGGGGGCACCACCCACAAGACAGCTGCAGCCATGCAGCCCGGAGCTGCTGCCCTGGGGCCCTCAGCCCCACCCAGCACTCAGCCCCACCCAGCACTCAGCCCCACCCTGGGCCACGTCCCACCTCTGAACTGACTCAGACGGGCCTCTGGCAGCCATTGTGGGTGTGCCTGGGGCCCACAATGCTGCTCTACCTCGTGCCACAGAAGGCTACCACGGGGGCCATCTGCCACCATGCCATTGGCTGTGGCTTCAGCCACCAGAAGAACTGGTGTCCCTCCTGCAGCTCCCCCCACCATGCTGGTGTCATGTCACCTCCCAGAGTACCACAGAAGTGCCGTGGGAGCCCCTGAATTACAAGGACCTTGCTTTTCCTCACCAACCCCAGTCCTTCCCTGTCCTCACCCCACAGACAGCTCCCTCCCAGCACAAGACACGGCCACACACCCGAGAATGACCACAGGAAGTCCAGGTTCCACCGATTAAAAAGGCAGCTTGCTTTATTCTCGCGATGCGGGTGGGGAGCAGGGCCGGGGCAGCTTGTCTGCCTCCAATCTTAGGATCTCCAAGCCGGAAGGGCCCCAGGGGTCCCCGAGGTGATAACCCCCTCGCAGGCAGCCCAGCCCCACCTGCCCCACTGCCTCTCACCCAGCACAGGCTGCCCTCGGAACCAGGTCACTCCCTCACCTCCACGATGAGGGTCCTGTCACCCCACACCCTCTCCAAGCCGGACGGTCCGAGGTCTTCCCACTATCGCTCAGGGGCCTCAGCTCCTACAGCCCCTCACTGGCCAGGCCCCTCCTCAGGCCGCCACCCCAGATGGTGGCGCACCCTGCAGGATCAGGTCTTCTGGGCACGCGCACACGGCACCCTCCGTGCCTGTGGTCTTAGATCTCTGGCGGCCGCCAGCAGAGGGCCCCCCTGTTCCCACACTGCAGAGTGCAGGCCTCAAGGGAAGCTGCTTCCCATCCTCCCAACCTTCCCCACCCCTCCCCTCCCCTCCCACCCCACCCTCCCCCTCTCTTCCCTCCCCTCCCAACCTCCTTCCCAGCCTGACTCAGGGGTCACACTTGGTCAGGCGGCCCGAAGGAGCTGCCAGCCCCCAGAACAGGTCCACAAAACAGAAAAACAACTATCAGCAAGCACAGAAAGGGAGAAAAACCACAAAAATCAGGGCCACTCTGTCTACAAATCACCAAGGCTCCTAGGGGGCAGGGTGGCCTGCGCTCGGGCCGCGAAGCTGGAGACGTTCGTTCATGTTTGTGCTTGACAGTCCTCCTTGCCTTCCTTTCTAGCCGCGCTTCCCCGTCACCAAGTGCCCACATCGTGAGAGCGCTGCGTATACGTGCAGGTGTGCATGCATATGCATGTGGCCTCGTGTCTCACACACGTGCACGCACACGAGCAGCTGAAGGGGTTCCTGGCAGGTTGGCTCCTGATGCTGGTGACAAGGATGTGGCTTGACTTGGGGAGAAGGAAGGAGGCAATGGAAGGGAAGTCTCCCGCTCCTGTGGGGCTTCTCCATTAACAAAGCCCTGTGCGTGCGCGCACACACGCACAGACAAGCGTGTGCACGAGCGCAGCGTGCACGCACGCACAGACACACACTAGATGCCAGGGGAGGGGGAGGGACGGGTCCCAGTAGAGCCGCTGGGCTCTGGGCCGGCTCAGACAGTGGTGACGGACAGCAGCGGGTTGTAGACCCTCTTGCCATCGGCGGAGCGGGTGCCGTGGGCCAGCATCTCCTGGATGGTGATCCAGTTGTCCAGGATCTTCTTGTTCCGCTTCTTCATGGTCTTGCGGTGGCTCAGGGCAATGATGTTGAGCTCGGCCTTGCTGTCACCGCTCTGCTGCTCACGCAGGCACTCCAGGCGGCTCTGCATCATGAACTCTCGCCGCTTCCGCTGCTCACGGGCGCGGATCAGGTGCTGCTTGCGCTCCTCCTTGCTCCAGTAGCGACCCATCTTCATCTCACTCACCGCATCGTCATCGGTTGTCATGCCACTGCGCTCCTCCCGGATCTTCAGCGCGCGGGCCTTCAGGAGCCGGTCGCGCACCGGCCGCTTGGCCACGTATCGGGTCCCGTCGCTGCGCACCTTCACCTTCCACTCCATGCGGGGGGCTTCGGCACCCGGAGCCGCAGAGGCCACCCGCGGGCCGCCCGCCAAGCTCAAGGGGCCGGGGGCCAACTCTTCCAGGCCCCGTGTGGGGGCCAGTGGCACACAGCTGTGGAAGTGCTCAGCCTCCTGGCCCTGGCTGCGGTGACGCCGGGAGAGGTAGGGGCTGCCCTCTGGGCCCACCCGCTCCAGGGTCACCCCCGTCTTGGGGCTGCGGCGCACACGCTCCTCTGAGTGCTGTCTCCGGCCCACCTCGGCATCCCGGGACAGGGAGCGGAACTTGGTGGGGCTCCCCTGCACAGGGGCCACTTTGGGCATGGCAGCACTGGGCACGCCGGCCAAGGTCCGGTTCAGGTTGGAGTTGCTGGCGGCGGCGGCGGCGGCAGCTCGCCGCAGGGGGCTCTCTGGTAGCGGCTCCGTGATGAGGGGGGTGCTGCGGCAGCTCTCCCCTGTGTTGTAGGCGCTGGTGCTATCCTTGTCCGACTTCTCAGGAAGCTCAGAGATGTCGGACAGCTCGTGCTTCTGGGGCTCCCCAGCACCCAGGGCATAGAGGCCCTCCTCCTCCAGCA